CTTCCCAAGTTTTTCTCCACTAATATCCTCACCCCCTCGCTAATCAACACCCCACCTCCCCCATTAACTCCAGCTGTGTTGATTTTAACTTCCTTACTTACATTTATGTCTCATCTGCCTTGATAATTTCTGTCAGCAGTTCCATCAGGCAAATATCCTCCTTCAGTTACACATTTGAACTTTCTCATTTCTAAAGTTTTCACATTATCGGCTTGCTAGTGTAGCCTCTGTTCTTATTCAAATGGCTACATGCACGTTACTCTCCTTTTACTATAGGTAACACATTATTTCTGATGTTACAAGAGAAACTAGTTCTTTACATTAGGCCCAATGTGCAGATTAATCCAACATAAACAGGCAGAGGTTTGCTCCCAGAACTTGGAAAAAACACAAATTTTGCTCTAGACGTTAGAACAAATAAAGCAAAATAATGTTTTAAACTGGAACAATATCAAAGAGCCATGGCCAGATTCCTTGACACTACATAGGAAGTAGTCTGTTCCATGTGTCTCTGAATCATTTATTTGAATAAATTTATTTATTTGAATGATCATTTATTTATTTGAATGATCATCTATTTGAATGACCATTTAAACAAAGATCATTTAGACTTTTAAGGCAGCTTGATCCGAGCAAATCGTGTAAGGTCAAACAGCAAATCAGTGGTAGAATTAGGAATGGAATTAGAAGTAGGAAAGGATCATGTTATAACCAAATTCCTGCACATAGCTACAGTCGTCTAAACCATAAGATTCCATTTCTCTCCAGGATTAGGAATGTCAGAACCAAAACACAAAGATCAGCAACACAGAAGCCACCGATTGATCACGTACCTTTCAAATCATCTAGGCAATAACGTCTTCTGTTCTCCAACCTTTCCACGCTCTTCAATAAATCACTGGGGTTAATATCAAGGTCGGGTTCCTGTTTTTTCTGGTTTGTTGAAGGAAGTCCACCATAAAGATCTGACATCTGATCATGATCCAATGAACCTTGACCCAAACCACCGGAACTCCTCCCAAGGCCTGATCTGTTATGGGATTGACTTCCTGCCCCTCCAAAGGCAGAATTTTTGCCAGAAAGAGAGCCCAGCTGCCCTAAATCTCTGCCCTTCCCACTTGCATCTCCTTGACCTGAAAATGAATCTCCGTTGTCAGATGAACCTTTGTTCCCTGACTCTCTGGAATCACCAGCAGTGCCCCGTCCTCTTTCACCTCCAGTAGATTTCCCAGGACGTGAATCCAGCCCGTGTTGACCACCTTCTCCAACAGCGCCTACCACACCTCCTTTACCACGGCCTGACTGTAACTCTCTTTCCTGACCTCTCATCCTGCCAACACCATCCACGCCAGGCCTGGCTCCAGCTGACCCACCATCCTTGCCATACGGAGACCCAGCCCCCCATACCGCAGAGCCACCAACACCACCGCTTTCTGAGGAAAAGCCACCTCCTCCAGCTCCACCTACATAGCCTCGAGCTCCGGTGAGCATAGCATCCCTGCCATGGTGAATTCCCATGACTTCTTCACCTCCAAAAGGGAAAGGAGCAGCTCCTGCCCCAGCCCCAGATGGGAGACCATCCCTTCCATAAAAAGAACCAACGCCCCTTCCACCAGCTACACCAGCACCAGTCCCAGCTGGGAGTCCATCCTTTCCATAAGCAGCCCCAAATCCCCCTGCACCAGCACCAGCTCCAGTTCCCATTCCTATTCCTACTGGAAGACCATCCTTTCCATAGAACAAACCATTGCTCCCTGCACCAGTTACACCAGCACCACCAGCACCAGCTCCAACTGGGAGGCCATCCTTTCCATAGGGAGATCCAACTCCACCTACACCAGCTGCACCAGCACCACCAGCACCAGCTCCAGCTGGGAGCCCGTCCTTTCCATAGGGAGATCCGACTCCACCTACACCAGCTGCACCAGCACCACCAGCACCAGCCCCAGCTGGGAGCCCGTCCTTTCCATAGGGAGATCCAACTCCACCTACTCCAGCATCACCAACGCCTGCACCCACTGGGAGACCATCCTTCCCATATGAAGACCCAACTGCCCCTTGGCCAGCACCACCAACGCCAGATCCAGCTGGGAGGCCGTCCTTCCCATACGCAGACCCAACTCCTCCTACACCAGCTACACCTCCAACACCTGCACCAGCTGGGAGGCCATCCTTTCCATAAGGAGCCCCAAATGCCCCTGCACCAGCACCGCCAGCACCGCCAAGGCCAGGTGCAGCAGGGAGGCCATCCTTTCCATATGCAGACTCAACTCCTCCTACACCAGCTACACCAGCACCAACTGGGAGACCACCCTTTCCATAAGGGCTTCCAAGTTCCCCTGCAGCAGCAGCACCACCAATGCCATCTCCAGCTGGGAAACCATCCTTTCTGTAGGGAGACCCAGCTCCCCCTGCACCAGCACCACCAAACCCAGCCCCAGATGGAACACCATCCTTTCCATAAAATGCTCCAACTCCCCCTGCACCAGCTACACCAGCAGCACCAGTGCCAACCCCAGCTGGGAGACCATCCTTTCCATACACAGACCCAACTCCCCCTTGACCAGCACCACCACCACTGATGGCAGCTCCAGCTGGGAGACCATCCCTTCCATAGGGAGATCCAACTCCACCAGCACCAGCTACACCAGCACCTGCACCAGCTGGAAGACCATCCTTTCCATATAGAGACCCAAAACCCACTCCCCCCGCACCAGCTACACCAGCACCAGCAATGCCAGCTCCAGCTGGAAAACCATCCTTTCCATAGGGAGAGCCAACTCCCCCCGCACCAGCTACACCAGCACCAGCAATGCCAGCTCCAGCTGGAAAACCATCCTTTCCATAGGGAGAGCCAACTCCCCCTGCACCAGCTACACCAGCACCACCAACACCAGCACCAGCTGGAAAACCATCCTTTCCATAGGGAGAGCCAACTCCCCCTGCACCAGCTACACCAGCACCACCACCACCAGCACCAGCTGGAAAACCATCCTTTCCATAGGGAGAGCCAACTCCCCCTGCACCAGCTACACCAGCACCACCACCACCAGCACCAGCTGGAAAACCATCCTTTCCATAGGGAGAGCCAACTCCCCCTGCACCAGCTACACCAGCACCACCACCACCAGCACCAGCTGGAAAACCATCCTTTCCATAGGGAGAGCCAACTCCCCCTGCACCAGCTACACCAGCACCACCACCACCAGCACCAGCTGGAAAACCATCCTTTCCATAGGGAGAGCCAACTCCCCCTGCACCAGCTACACCAGCACCAGCAATGCCAGCTCCAGCTGGAAAACCATCCTTTCCATAGGGAGAGCCAACTCCCCCTGCACCAGCTACACCAGCACCACCAACGCCAGCACCAGCTGGAAAACCATCCTTGCCATAAGGAGCCCCAAATCCCCCTGCACCAGCTACAGCAGCACCATCAACACCAGCTCCAGTTGGAAAACCATCTTTTCCATAAGGAGCCCCAAATCCTCCCGCACCAGCTACGCCAGCACCACCAATGCCTGCTCCAGCTGGGAGACCATCCTTCCCATATGCTGACCCAAATCCCACTGCACCAGTTCCACCAACACCAGCTCCAGCTGGAAAACCATCCTTTCCATAGGGAGCCCCAAATCCCCCTGCACCAGCTCCACCGACACCAGCCCCAGCTGGGAGACCATCTTTTCCATAAGGAGTTCCAAGCTCCCCTGCACCAGCACTACCAACACCTGCTCCAACTGGGAGACCATCCTTTCCATAGAACAAACCATTGCTCCCTACACCTGATACACCGGCACCACCAATACCAGCTCCAGCTGGGAGACCATCCCTTCCATAGGGAGATCCTACTCCCCCTACACCAGCACCACTAACACCTGTGCCAGCTGGGAGACCATCCTTTCCATAAGGACCTCCAAGTCCCCCCATACCAACCCCACCAAAACCAGCCCCAGTTGGGAGACCATCCCTTCCACAGGGAGACCCGAGTCCCCCTGCACCAGCACCACCGATGCCACCTCCACCTGGAACACCATCCTTTCCATAAGGAGATCCAAATGCCCCTGCACCAGCACCACCAAAACCAGCCCCACCTGGAACACCATCCTTTCCATAGGGTGCCCCAAATTCCCCTGCACCACCTACACCAGCACCACCAAAACCAACCCCAGCTGGGAGACCATCCCTTCCATAGGGAGACCCAAATCCCCCTGCACCACCTACGCCAGCACCAGCACCAACTGGAAGACCATCCTTCCCATAGGGAGACCCTATTGCCCCGGCACCGGCTACACCAGTACCACCAACACCTGCTCCCAACAGCTGGCCATCCGGACCATACAAAGCCTCCATTTCCCCTACAGCACTGCCTCCTGCACCAGATATAGCCACGTCTCCACCTGGAAGACCACCTGGGCCATACATCAAGCCAGACCTTCCTGCCTGACCTCCATGACCACTAGCCAGGCCATCCTTGCCATAGGGTGTCCCGGTATGTCCTTCTCTGGTTATATCTGCTCCATTCATGTCACCTGCCGTCAGGAGCCCGTCCTTGCCATAGAGGGACCCCATTCCTCCTGCAACCTCGGCACCTGCAGCGTTTCTAGCTCCAGTACCTGGACCAGTCCTACCGAAGAGATGACCCTTACCATCTCCTACTCCGGTTGAATCAGAATTGAGTCCGTCTAACACAGAACTTCCATCAGCAGCACCCCCAAAGCCACCTCTGTAACTAGCATCACCTAATTTACCACTCTTGTCATGCTGAGAGGCCACACCTTCTCCAGCATCCATGTCAAGGTTACCAGCATCCAGCACACTGCTGTCCCTGCCACCCACAGAATGCCATTCACCTGCTCCTCCTCCTGATCCACCACCAGCATCTGCTCTGCCTGTTACAGAATCCTTGCCATGGAAAGGTCTTAATCCACTTTTACCTCCTAAACCTTTTAATCCAAAGCTACTGCCATCACCCGCCACCGAGTCTCCACCTAGGTCTGCTCCAGAAAATTGCCCAAAGCCCATCCTTTCATTTCCGTGGGCTTTGCGCAGCCCATCTTTTCCCAAAAACCCGTGGCTTCCATCAACATCAACAGAGTGGCCTTGACTGCCTCCTTGACCATTTCTGTACCAGCCATCTTTTTCCACACCAGTGTCCATAAGATGATCTTCATCACCATCATATTCTCCACGTCGAAGTTTCTTAGCCCTGTCTCTATCTGGCAATGTTTCTTTCAGCCACCCAGATTTCTCTCTTTCACCTCCTTCACCTCCTTCAATCTTGCTCCTCTTCCCTTTGGCATCTGTATTGCAGATGTATTGATTGGAGTTGATACAATTTACAGGAAAAGAGAGGGGAAAAAGAACAATCGATAGGTCATGTACTCATCAACAACCAAAGCAAACGTGTTAGCATTTGTTATGATTTCATTCTAGGTCAGAGAGAATTAATATATTTATATAAATTTAAATTCAGTTCAAATCCTGATTCTTTTATTCAGTGTCACATTCAGACATAATTTTACATTTCTTGGTTAAAAAGACAATTATTTTTAGTGGGAACATGCTTGTTAAAAAAAACAACTACCCAGGGTCACTTACGTTCTACAATAAGCCAGGCATTTGCGGAGCAGAGACCGGTGTCGAGCGTGTACATGCCATTGTCAGAGGGCACAACGTTTTTAATAATCAGCCGATGGGTGAGACCGTCAGGCGATACGGAGATCTGGTGCTTCTCGCTCGCCTCGAGGGGGTGGGTTTTGTGCAGCCACACGGCGTCGTGGCAGGGTGTGCGTAGGGTGCACTCAAAGACAGCGTCCTCTTCCTCAGGGCAGCGCATGTCACGGAGCGGCTGCTCAAATCTCACAGGGATGGCTGCAATGGAAAAATCAAAAGCTATAGAAAGGAAACCGAGAGCTATTTCTGTCTCCTGAGAAAATCTTGTTGCAGGAACTTGCCATGTCTGTGAGCACTGGTTTAAGAGAAGGGAAAAATTGCAATGTCCTCTTGTGCCCAATTCTACAGGACAGAAACACTGGAGAGTAGATTTTTTTTATCTTCTGAGACATTTATACCACACATGACTGTGATGTGCTGAGAAGCTGTAGTCATTAATACATTTCAGCAGCATGACACTTGCATCAAGTTGGTAGTTATTATTCAAAGCTTACAAAAGGAAAACTATAGCATGGGGTAAACTAGGGAATCTGCTCACTGTCATCCCAGAAGTCAGACCCAAACGGATACTTAAACCCAGTCCTTTGGCCGACAAACACAACACCCACATCACATCATCACCCTCCTGCTCTTCTTCCTGTGTCATATTTGGTGACACAGCCTACTGCAGTTACCAGGTTTTACCGCGAAGCTTTGCATATGCCCCTCGATAAAATTCTCCAGCAAAAAAATAATTTCTCATTACTGTTACACAGCACATATATTTAACTTAATTCCTCACATTCAGCATCCAGTTCGGTTGAGAAAACAGGGACGTCCTCCACTCTGACTTGATACACGCCTGCATCTTCTGGCTGCACATCGTTGACAATGAAAGTGTACTTCTTTCCAACTCGCCTCAGGCAGTGCTTTCTGTATTCATCCCCCGTCCCATACATCAGCCTCTCGCCATCCTAGGAAGAGAAAGAACCCATCTTAAGGGCGATGCACGATGAGTGCACGGCATTTCAAACAGATGAGGCCACACCTGTGCTATGAGCACTTTATCGATGCAAACGAGAAAGAATAAAGAGGTCTATGTGGAATTAACTACTTGGAGCAGACAGCTCGAAGTGGACAGGGCTCATTGCTCATGTAACACACAGATAATAAGTAAGATCAGAGCATCAGACTCAAACTCAGCGAAAGAATAGTACATGGCCAGCTCATATAAGGTTTTGAAGCTTAACTAATACACTGTCACTGTAACTTTGAAGACGACGTACGTGCTTTGCTTAGATTTTAGTATCCTCACAGATGGATAAGCAGGCGAGTTCATTGCTTTCCTATCGTTAACACACTCGGGTTACCTCCTGCGTGTTGTGGCTGCCCAGACTTCACGCCATGAGTGTGATTCGGAAGTTCACAGAGCCAGTCTGACCTCCTTTTCAATGACTTTTGATTTCTGATGTATTAAAGCCACCAACTGCAGTTTGACTGAAGTGCATCTTCCAGACAAACACCCACAGCACTGATCACCCGGGAACCACAGCAGAATTAGTACACAACTACGTGGGATGTTTTACTTCCTTGAGAACTTTTTTCACAGGAGTGAATTATAGGGGAATAACACATCCAAGAAAGTAAATAAAATCAGCCTATTTTTCTTATGCAAGACTGCAGAATTTCTACAGCCTGAAAGACGTGGTTAGAATTTCCTCTTACCAGGAAAAGTCAAAGACTACCTGGACCCCAACTTTTTTCCCTAACCAATCAAGGATTCTGCAACGGACAGACAACATCAAAAAGATTATTTGCTCTCAGCTACTGCCCAGAAGATCAAGTATTTTATGTAGAATATTTCAGTGGCTGTTATGAGCTGGCCAACCCACGCTGCCCCCTCACCTTAAGCAGATAAACTTTGCTGTTAGTATTTTTCAGATCCATGTCCAGGCTGAAGGTAGCTTTCCCCTCCTTGTTGACTTTGATGTGTTGGAAGTTTCTGATACTATGTATCAACTGCAAAGAAAGATGCAAGAACCCAGTTAACGATAAGGTTGTCATGACAAAAGCTCTTAAGCTGTTGAACTAATGTGAAATCTACTTCTTATCTGCATAGAAAAGAGCCACCCCTAACTTCATGTGTATAGAAGAAATATCTCTAAGTGTCCACAGTTTCCTCCTGTGGGCAAATTATATTTTCCATGTTACCTCTTGGTCATTCATACACGATTCATCCATGTTTCTATATGTATATAATTGACTCTCAGGCATAGAACTTTTCAATTTGTGGTCCAAAAAACTCATAAGAGGCAACTGAAAATGGATTTTAACCACGTGGTTTAATAAAAGCATTAGCCTATAGTCAGCCTCTCCTAAAATTTAGGAACTGAACTTCAAAAAAAGTCAACAGCATTTTCTTCTGTGGGAGTATAGAAGTAGGACTTTTTAAAACCTTGCCATAGGCCATTCTCTGCCATACAGTACTTTTTTCATCTAACAAAGCAATTTGGGAAGGTTTAGCCTGTTTTTAGAAGCTCCTGAGGAACTACAGGACTCTGCAGTTTGTTAAAAACGAGTGCTTTCAGTGATTGCAGTTTATTTTACCTCTTCCTGTTCATTCTCTGCATTCTTCCTCATCTCCTGCAGCCTTCTCAGCATCCCACGGAAGTCAACAATTCCGTATTTCAAACAGATCTTTTCATAATCTCTCCTATCTGCATGCAGCAACAGTTGCCAGACGGCTTCTTTATCCAAAGGTTTCGGTTTTGGTGTTGGGTCCCTTAGAACCAGAGGGAAAAAAAAAGTCTGAGACATTTTGACAGACAACAAGTTGTCTCGTTTTTTCTATACTTAATCCTCGTTCATCTCTCTCTCCATCATTTCTGCAGTTCACTTGGCCCTGTAGATGTAGACAAGAAAGAACGAGACTCCTCCAGAACAGGTTTTCTGCATCTATACTACAAATTAAATGCTGCTGGGGAACAGTCTTGCCCTGGGCTATGTTGGACAAGACTGCAATGCAGTTATCCAAATTGTTCAATTACCAGCAGAGCCACTGGCACAGTTTGGCCCAGGCCAACTTGCACCCTCCCAGGTAATTTCTCAGCACAGTTCAGGATTTTGCACTGGCCAGAGATCATTCCCACCAGGCAGTCTTTGGGGGTTCCCACCTGGGAAGCGAAGGGATTTCTGAGGTTTGTGCAGCTGGCCCAAGAGCCAGGGCTCAGTCCCTGATTAGCTCGAATGATCGTGACACAAAGACCTGCCCCTTAGCCAGGAGGTTACTCGTGAGCAAAAAACGGGAAAGCAGAGAAACAGATCCTTTAAGTCAAAAACTTGTGGTGCACAAGGACACATGCCTCAGAAAGACGTTGGTACCTTGTGTTTCTGTCAGCCTCACAGACAGTGGCAAACTGTTCTGTTACAGCTCTCCACACTGAGTGTCCCAGCAACTCTGGAAACATTTGAAGATCTATGAAGTTGTCCCCTGTCACCGAGAAACATCTAGGAAGTGTGACAATGGCCCTCATTACGGAGGCTTACCGCTTCCTCAGCATCTTCCTGGAGTCCTGAAGCTGCTTCCTCAACTCTATTAATGGGGAGGGAAAGAAAAAACACTCGGATACCAAACACTTTAAAATATATCCCCTCAAATAAGATAATGTAAAATATGCATAATTGAAATATTTTATATATCTATAACTTACCATCAGCAGGATGAACAGGAACATATTTTGCTTTCCTCTTAAAGCCAACTGAGAAAAGAGAGGAAAAACAAACCGTAAGGTGCACAAGATAAGATTCAGACTAACACCAGTAAAGCAATGAACTATAAACCCCCTCTGTCTGTTACCAGTGCAACAGGAAATCCTAGCTTGGATTTCCTTGTCAATCCGACATCGACTCCAAGTAATCTCCACCTATAAATGCAATATTTCTATTGAAATCAACTCTGTGCTTAGGGGATACTCTACACAATGGAGAAGACCACTTCTGCCCCATGAAGCCTATGGAAAATATTAACATCATGTAGAGACGGGCAGCCAAGGTGCAAGGATCGTGTGGCCAAATGCAGGCCGTTGCCTTCTAAACTTACTTGACAGGCAGAGAGGTGAAATGGGTGCTTCCAACATAGGCCACCTCCTGCTCAAGCAGGTTCTGAGAACAGGTCAGTTATGTTTTACTCACAAACTGCCCATTTCTCTCCACTGCCTCTAAAGGGAAGCAGGGCACTAGGTCAAGTGGACACCCCAGACACCTGAAGTGAAGCGGGGTGGATCCCTCCCAAAACACTGATTTGTTAACCATAGAATCATGGAGGTTGGAAAAGACCTCTAAGATCATCAACTCCAACAGTCAACATCATAAAGAACAGACTGAGTCAACTAAAGCCAGAGCGTCTGACCACAGTCCAGCGCAGTGACCACAACAGCACTTTCTTCTCTCTTGCCTTCAAGCTCATTCTGTCATGGAGCCACCAAAGTGGAGGGACCTCCAGTCCTCAAGAGAGGGGGAAAACAGACCTTCACACCACAGATATTTAGACAATGCTCTGGGCACCCACCCGCAGAGGACAGCAAAGCGAATTATCTGGGATCACAGGACTGGTCAATCCTACCTTGTATGACCCTGAGGCCAGCAGTGCATGTAGCCTCCCCATATTCGTTCACCGCGGTGCAACGGTACAAATCACTGTCATTGGCGGTGATTTTGTTTATCTTAAAAAGAAGAACAGAGTAAGAGCTCACAGCGATGTGCCATGGTTCAGTTCGCACACCCTCAGCTTCTAATGAAGTGGCTTCTCAATGACATCTCAGATCTTTCTTCTGTTCCCAGAACAACTCGAAAAAGCTTTGTTTGCTGATCTTTTCATTATCTCAGATGTGGTGACAGCCCTGTCAGCCCACTGCAGGTTTTCCCTTTCCATTGGTCTCTCTGTTCTGTGAGTCCTCTCAGAAATAGTTTATATTTACCTGCAGGATGAATTCATTCGTAACGTTATTGAAGAATGTTTCATATCTGGCAGGATCATCCATTCCTCCTTGCGCACGTGTCCATTTCACGTCAGGGCTTGGGACGCCTTTGACCACAGCTCTGAAAATGGCATTTTTACCTTTGAAAAGAGGCAAGAAACCAGTTATTTAAGACAGACTTAAGCGCTAACAATGCTAAGGTCACGGGTTCGATTCCCGTTCGGTCCCCATGTGTTGCCTGATCTAGTCGAGAGGTGGCATCCCTGGCGGCAGGGAGGCTGGGTTAAAATGATCTCTGAGGTCCCTTCCAGCTTAGGCCGTTCTACGAGATGAGGACAAACAGCAAAGAGTTAT